CACTAAACTAAGAATCAGAATTTTTTTTTTCATGGGTTTGGGCTACTTCAGGGTATAACTATATTACTGAATGTAAGTTACTTAACTTGAATGAGCCTCTGCAATTTATCTGTAAAACCTGGGTGTRGAGAGGGAATATGAAGTAGTTTTCTCCAAGAGCTTTAATGGATATAAAGTTATTTGTAATTCTAGCAAACATCTATTTGCATCAATTTTTTCAATTAAAACAGGTCGAACATTTGCCACCAGTAAKTGTTGTGCCTCCAATCAAAAGGCCTAATTCATAGCAGCAGGAGTGAGCCTATAAAAACAACTAAAAATGTAAAAACATTTCTGCAGTAGACATATAGGTTTGCCCCTATAGTCTTCTATTTCTTTTCTACACAAGCTTAACTTTCCCCATCTTCTTACTTCAGCAACTTTCCTCTTGCCCCTAAATTTCTTTTTCACCCTCTTCGTTCCCAACTCTTTGATCACACTGTTCCACCACCTCGCTGAAAAGAATCTTTTAAACTAATGGAAGCAATAGAAYAGACTTCAAGGCTAAAAACAACATATTAATATATTACCCCTCCAACCAACTCCTAGGTTAAGATTCTTAATATACCCCAAGCGTATATTATTAATATATATACTAATTATAACTATATATTAATATATATACTAATGGTGAAATCACAAGCACTGTGGACAGATGAACATGAACCCCACCAAGTATAATATTAATTTTCCTTTCTTCCTCTAAGGTAGTCCTGGACCCAAAATAATAGAAGAGTCATTTAGGTTTGCAACATATGAGTCTATATAATGCCATCTTTTCACTTATAAGAATAATATGATTAATTTGAATACTTCTACAACTCTAAGTGAGAGGATTTAAAACAGAAAATTAACGAAGGCTTATTCTGTCTGATTAGGAGAGCAATGAAAAGGAAAGAACTTCGTAAATAATCAAAAGATACAAATCACCTGTCATCATCACCCAGTATTTCTGTATTGGGCCTTACTTTGCAACTCATGTGCCTTACTTGTTTTTATTAACTCAAGAGCCTCATTTTATTAAATATTTTAAAAACATGACTTCTAATGGCTGTGTAATATTTCTTTTGTTGTAGCCTTAACTTATTTTACCATTCACCCACTCTATACTTGAAATATTTCACTCTCTTTTTGTCTGTCTCTCTCAAATATTCATCGGTTTTTTTTTTTTTTTGCTATTTCTAGGATAAATTCCTGAAAGTAAATTACCTGATCGAAGTATATGAACATTATATGCTAATATTTTCTTACAATCAAAATTTTATTTCATGTGCCCACAACTGYCTCAAACATTACCCTAAGCTATCAAAAAATTAAAGTAAATTAAATAATACATAGTGCCAAYCAATTAACACATACAATTTTAATATATTGTCATAAGTGTTTTAAAATATCTGCTTCATTGGGCATTCTGAGCCTGCAAAACCACATGGGTATGAAAATGAGTGAATACCCAAGACATTACGAAATGAGACACGGTATATGGATTCTGCATAAACCACTCCAAATGAATCACTTGGCACATGTAACTCTTTATGTGGTGACTTGACCATAGAGCAAAAAAAAAATAAATTAAAACAAAAAAGATCATGTTGGATTTGAAAAMGTCCAACAACAAACAAAAACCCTATGCACTGCTTTATGAAGCACTACTGAGCTAGAAGAGGGAAGGAAAGCAACATTAGTAGATACATTGTATAGGAAGTTTTAATACAATATCAAGATATTATTATGATCACACTGTACTAGCTCACCAAATTGGCTTCTTAAATATCTATTTTTTTAATCTATTCTCTGTCTTCTGATCCAAATATTTTTCTCATGTCCTGAAGAAAAATTTCTACTCTAGTAACATAATATTTAGAATTTTTTATCTTAAATATTCAGTACTTGATGTTGCRTTCCTGTAATTATAATTATAACTAATAGACCTTCCATTTCCCATGTCATAATTAATGTCAGGCTTTATTAGAGCACAATTATGCCATCTTTACCCTTACAAGGCATCTTTTATTGTTACAACATTTATGGTATACTGAATTAGTCAATAAAGGATCSAAGAAGCCTTCTCAAAGGATAACCTTTGGATCATAGATGGTAAGTTAACTGACTTAGAAAATGTAAAATATTTCCTAATGTGCTGTATGTTCAACACCAATAGCTAACGAAAGCAAGCAGGTACTCAGGGATACATATATTAGATTTCCTAAGTTATTCTATATGCTCTCAGCAAAGGTGAAAAAAACTAATGACAACAAATTATCTAGGTCATACTTTTTGATTGCAATATATAAACAGAGGTATCAACTTCAGACAGCAATTTGGTGGTTAAAATATATATATATATATATATATATATATATATATATATATATATATACTGTGATACTGAAAGATTAAATTTTTCATAGACACTGGTTATATTGTTACAACATTTCTTTTAAATCATATCCAAAAATTCCATCTTTATCATTTAACCCTTCAAATAAAACAAAACTGAATTCTATTGCARCATTGAAATTAAAATTCAAAGGTGGTAAAAATAAATTTAAATAGAGCTAAAAGGGGAGAAAATAGCATAACTTGATAGTTTCTCAATTTAAACAAGAAGTTTACAAGTCTTTTGCAATATATATGAAACACTTAGAAGAAATGCCCTATGGACATGATGATGGGTTGTGCTTTTAAAGCTTATGAGTTACAGATTCTGTACTTCTGAAGGTCACACAGWGACTGTGAAGTCCATGAGATAAGATGTATGGTCCACAAATAATGGAATTGACTATTTCAGTACCAGCTCTTTTATTTTTATTCTCATTAGAATCCTTAAATCTCTTTTCCATTTCATTTATATCTCCTCAAAAATAGTGATAAATACTCAATACTATGCAACATATAATTGTGTATATAATATAAAAACAAGATGATATATAAGGAGAAAATCACAGAATCAAGAAAGGAGTTTCAACATTACTTTTTTGGTATTATACATATAAATATTYATAAAAATCATTTCTAGAACACACAAAAACCTTTTTAAATGCTATGATATACAAATTTTTTGGAATGATTATTTGGGCTAATTTATGTATTTTCCATGAAGAGTTTCTTGAAGTATTGATAAATGAAAAAAATACTGCAGCAAATTAAAATACTGTTTGTGAAATAAGGATAAATCAATTAACAGGATGGGGATTTAGAGAAATACATTTTATCTGTAATAAAGTCCACTGAATTTCAGGGTTCATCAATAAGTAGATCCATGGACAGATATAAAGAGGATCTCAATTGAAACTACTATGAGATATTTCAAGAATCCCAAATTATAATCTTTGGGGCAAAAATTCAAATACAGGCCCTCATGCCATGTTCAAATTTTTTTAAATTATAAATCATCCAGAAAAATGGATAAACACATTTTCTTTTCCCCATCTTTAAAGACATAGAATGATAGTAATATGGAAAGATCAAGTCAAATTAGTTATTTAAGGAAATGTCTTAAGATTAGCTCTGGCATAGGATGGTGTGGAGATCACCAGCGACCAGTCTTCAGATAGTGATCCAATTGCCATCTTGCTTCTCTTCCTATCCTTCAACCTATTTATACCACGCTGTGGGGGACTCACATACAAGTGTAAGGGCATCTAAGCTCCACTTTCAAACACTCACGCACAGCTACTTTGGCCACCCTCTTAGTCCTAGGGAGACACACAGGAGCAGTGTGCCCTGCCTTCAGTAAAAAAATATCTGGATGAACCTGCTCTGGCCCTGGAATAGGACTCAGGGCCAGTTGGGAAGGATGTTCATGGGTCTTGTGGAGCTTATGTGCCCTTTGATTGAGACATGCTTCAGAGAGGCCAWCTCCCTCAGTCTGGAAGGATGCAGTCAAAGGATCTCAAGGGAGAGAGCCTTTAAGTCATAAGTCTCCTTGCCAAGCTTTAAGGGCAGTTCATAAGAAAGCAGGTAACTTTACGAAAGTTGTAAACTTAAGACCTAGAGTCAGTTTTCTTTTCCCCTCAAACATATCTGATATAAAATCTCAGAAGAATTATTAGTCAGGAAGCAATAATTCCTTCATAAAAACTGCATATCTTTGCATCCAGACAAAAGAAAATTATACTGTTCTCAAATATGTCCATGTCTGCAGCCATCTATTAACTATTGTTATAATAATATTAACAATAGTATTTTAGAGGTATGCAGTGCCATTCTTATACACACTAGCATTTATTTCATGCATCTTTTCAAAATACCTGAGATGTGTGAAAAGCAGATGTCCTGTTTTCCCATATTATAGCATGAAAAATTCAGCAGAGATGAGTTTAGTAATTTTTCTAAAGTCTCTAGATTGAATGTTAGCAAATTGATATTAACATTTGAAATAGATCTTAAGCCTTTCTAGTTTCAGAAAGAACCTCTCCTTCCTTGACAGACTACACTTTTTAGTACTTTCTAACTCACTAAGACAAAGCTAAACTCCATAAATGAAACATAAATCTGTGTTTTGCTATTCCTAAGAATTCTTACTTATGGACCCTTGGAGTCTTCCATACCAATAATATTTTAAGTTATAAACAATAAAATGCCCAGTACAGAAGAGTATTGCTTTATGGGAACACTGTTTTTAAATAGCACTGTAGTAACAAAATAGGAAAAAAAAAATAGAATCAATAATAATTAAATGTTACTCTCTTGGGACTCAGAGTATGCATAATTTTATAAATCGCATTTTTCTTTGAACTGATTTCATTTCCAGACACTATTTTGACCATCTGCTCATGCCAAAATGGTTTGATAGTCCAACCCTTCACATGAAGAGGAAGTTTCAAATAAGGGATAAAACCAGAAAGAACCCATTTAAAAATTATCGGGAGCCACCCAGTTTGACAACAGTACTAAACAAATCGACAAGGGAGGTGAAAAGATGACTTATGTGTAATTTCATCAAAGCACAGGCCTACCTGAATCATATGCAAAGTCTCTGGGTTCCTGTTTAATCATCAGAGGAGGGGGGAAGCTTTGGCTGGCGGCACCTCCAACCATGGTGTTATGTTCATATACCGGGTCATGGTACTCCTGCTTAAAGCCTTGTGGTGGGAAAGGGATGTTTGGCTCAGACATCTGGCGTTGGTACATAGGACGTCCTTCCCTTGGCATTGTCGGCAAAGGAGGAAAGGAATTACAGGGTTCAGAAAGCTGGCGGCGAAATCTGGGGAATGAAAGAGTATGTTTCAGATAAGGTGGTAACACTGAATATTCTTTAAAATACCATTAGAATTTTTATCTGCTTAGTGAATAAACATATTACCTACTAAATGAAGTGTAAACATTTAATGCACACTAGATTTCTCTTCCTATGACTTCTAATTATACAATGACTTGTGTTCACCTTCTAATCTATCCCTTATAGCATGGTTTTGGTATATTTTCAGTTTAAAGGTGTATTTTGAGAAGAGAAGAGAACAGTGAACTATTTTGAGTAAATCTGGATACTAACTGCTAAAATGCCCAATGTTAAGTCAATTGGATCATTTACATACCTTCCACAGGAAAAGGTTTTCACATATCTATATATATATATAAAAGCATGAAAAACAGAGTCTTTCTCAGACTGCATCTTCAGTCTTTTAACTGTTATCAAACTAAACAAAAACCTAATTATTCATTCTCCTTCTGTGATCACCAGTTTTTGAAGAAGCAAGATAGCAATGATTCCCTTCTTAAATCACCAGGATTTTTAATTCTTCAACAATGTCCTAGCTAACAGTATGTTCTAGTGAGAAATAAAACTTGGCATCATGAGGAGTTAAATCCAACCCGTTTTTTAAGAGACCACTTTTTTTTCCTGTCAAATAGCAACACAGAACATRCCAGCTTCCAATTTGCTTCAAATAGGCTGTCAGTTTGATAAAAATAAGCATAAATATACAGCCAACCACCAAAGATGTAGAWAACATGCAATGCGCAGATTTGGAGCAACTCAGACTGAAAGGTCCTCTGAATGTCCTGAGGTCTTGGCAGAAGGCTGAAAATGAGTCCTGTGCTCCTTCATTCTTGGTTACACTGTGTAACGATTGGCTGATCACATAATCGTTCTGTTCCATGTTTCTCATCCATAATATCATTGACCCACCACAAAGCTGTGGATTAATTAAAGATTTAAAAGTGCTCTAAAAATGCCCCAGGAGTGCTTAAAAATAACCTATAAAACATATCTATGAGCAAATATAAGCCCATTAACAGCCCCCCTTCAACTAAAAGCATTCCTAAGACTTTAATTTGGAAAGTTAGCATTTAATTTTCATCATGTTAAATGAAAATAAGGTGAAAGCTAAAGAATGGCAAAATCATTGCTTTAGAATTTCTAAGAACACTCCATCTTTAACGCTAGGCTCACTGGCTGCCGTGGAAAGCACTGAAATTCCACCTACACCTGCAGAAAATAAACTTAGAAACTCGGATACTGCAARACAGTTAGGCTGACTGGCACTGCATTCATTTCCCTTCTCTTGCTTATTTCATTAGCCAAAAAAAGAAACAGAAATTATCATTAGGAACTGTCAAGGAGAGAATCAGAAAATTGTAACTTGAAGATAAAATAAGAACTTGCTCGCTTGTGAAGCCTTAAAAGGAAGTTAATAATGCTTGTACTGAAAGCTTTGTGGGGAATCAAGCCATTTGTTCCTACAAGTTGACCTGATTTCAGTGGGTCCTAGCTGGGGACTATGTATGTATCAAACGCCCAAGGTCCTTAGGCGGCTGTGTGTGCTTTTGGTGCCTATCTCATGATCCACTGACCAATGGTAAAGGAAAAGTGATTGAAGAAGCTACTGGAAGAAAGTTAATGGGTAAGGAGAGCATGCTGATGAACTCCTGGATAAAGAAAAGCAGGGTGTAAGTGGTGGGGAATGCTGAGAAACAGAGACAGGGCTCTTGCACAGTGGGTTCGGGAAAAAGTGCCAAAGGGCTGGCCCGAGGAGTGGAGGGAGGCTGAGGAAAGGAAGCAGAGTGCCGGCCAGTTGGCCTTAAAGCAATCCCAGAGTGAGGTGGGGTGCCTGGCTGGAGGGGGCTATCTGGGGAAAGGATCTGTTCCCAGAGCAAATTTGCCATTTATAACTAAGGGACTGTCATTTGTTGGCCAGAGCCCTCTAAGAAATCCTCCTCAGAAACATAAGGCTTCAGAGATTTTCCTGGGATTGGCCAGCTGGTCCTGCCCTCAAAACTCAGTTGGGGGCAGCGGGAAAAGACCCTGAGCTTCTCTCTGTAGTTCCGGCCGGCTGTTCTCAGTCTCAAATATATGACTTCAAGTTGTGAAATTAAAATGGATTTGGCGAAAGCATTTCAAGTTAGGTCACCTAAAAACAGCCACACTGCTTATTCAGCAGTCATCTTCCTAAGAAATGACTAGTCTTCACTAAGGGCGAACATAATACTCTGAAATTCTGGCTCTCGTTTGAAGTGTGAGGGACTTGGTTATTGAGAACTCTGGGAAGTCACCAGAAGTGGACAAAAGTTGCTTTTTTGTGGTTCAGACCCTTTTTTCCTTTTAGCCCTACACAATGTGCATCTGTTTAATGGCCCACCCTGCAATAAGCATTCTTTCATCTGTATTTACAAAACTGTTTACACAGATGCACATACCATTTTGTTCTAACAAAGTCTCAAGTCCACCGAGTGAGAAGATGACAGGAAGCATTCAGTAATAACACACAAGGGACTTAGTGATGGAAGCAGAGGTATAGAATATATGGCTTATCTTCACCCTGGAAATAATGTTATCCCCATATTCCTTTATATCAAAAAGAATAAGCTATAAAGGAGAGATTCAACTGTTTTTTATACACAGAAAGTTGCCTATGGCACATGTTCTGCTCTCCTCTGCTGATCTAGGGGATTCCTTTGGCTGAGTTATTTTTACAGTGGTGTGTCAGAGCCAGTTACAGCTCTGGCTTACGGATAAATGTTCAGGAATTTTTTGAGCCAATTGTTAACCACAGTTATTATTAAGAATTTGATTATACAACAGCACAACTAAAAGACATATTCAAACAAAGGCAAGAGAAACTCAAAACTCATTACTCCCTAATTATTTTACTACATTTCACTATTAACTATGCTCCAAGGTCATAGCTGCTGTATGTGAATAAGAAAAATGAGATGATGCTTTTGAAAAACTTAGCACAATCCTTACATATTAAAAATGCTCGTAATTGTTTAAAAAAAATAAAGAAAGAAAAAGAAAAAGAAAAATACCATATAATGGTATGCTGTTGGCTGTTGCACATYTCTTTCCACCTCCACCTCAACACTCAGGACTGTCACAGTGTTAGCTCAGAGTCAACCATCAGGCAGCAGCCACATCAACTACTCAGCAAATGCTATAGATAAGGTCTTTCTTTTACTCCCATGTAGTCTACTGGTGCCAGGACACCAGTGGTTATATTTAAGTACAACAGAGAAGAGAGAAGGAGGTTTGGTACATATAACTGACCTGTATTTTAAGCATATTAAGGCTGTATCTCAGAACCTCAAAAGTCTTCCAATGTTTTATTTAAACATGAATTTTTTCATCACTTGGAGTCAAGAATTGCCCACTATAGCATTCTCCCTAGTTCCACACTTGGGTTCTTTCCTTGTTCCTTTGTAAGCCTCTGTATCTTTGTATATTCTCCGTGTGCAGGGTCATGGGTCTGCTGACATTAAATATTCATCACTTAGGAAGGAAGGTAAATGCTTTTAACCAAGTAAGTTATATTATGCAAAACTATGTATAGCTAAACCATTCAATCTAAGGTAAAGAACCTAATTCCATAAGCCACCTACTAAAATTAGTCTCCTAACTTTACAGAACAAGTACACACATATGCTCATAGAAATAGGATGATCTGATTTAAAGTTTAAGTGAAGCAATTTAATTCAAGCAAAGCAAAAGGAAAATGTTCAAATGTCAGTATATAGATTAATTTTCCATTTTTGCAACCAATTTAAATGTTTATAAAAGGAATGTTTATAAATGACCTTCTTTAAAAATTATTTGTAAGTATAGATAGAGCAGCTCTTTCTAAATATATTTTGCACAGATGTGCAAAATTAATATGCTCACCTTAAAACTACTATAGGTCCTCAGATTTGGTAACAGGAATTTCCTCCAGGAATGCTAAGAAGATTTAAAAAAAAAAAAAAAAATGGTATCTGCAGTTTACCTGTGGTCCATAGGGTAGCTGCTATCTGGTATGGATTGCGATGGAGGGAGGTGAGCTGGGAAGGCCCGGTCAGGTTTCGGAGTGTGAGTTGAGTTTGGAGATGCATGATGTAGTGGGGACACTGGAGTACTGGATGGTGTGGGGGGGTTGGAGGGCCTCATTCCCACTTGTGGCTTCTGATCATAGGCACTACCCAGGGAACAAAAGAAAACAGAACATTTGTTTCTTTGGAGCAATTAAAAAAAAATGTTTCTAATCCAAGGAAGAAAAAATATTTTATATGTTAGTCATAATAAGTTATTTTTTTTCATTGTTTTTAATGTCAGACCATGTAAACTTCAAAATCATCACACCCTTAAACAGAAAATAAGATAATACAAAATCTTATGATGGCATAAATACATGTGTATATTAAAGTATATATTTTAATACATATATAGACAGTTTAGTATTAAAAAATCACTATTAATAAAAGCAGCAGTACTAATTCCACCTATTCTTTGTTTGTTTGCTTATTTGTTTGTTGTTAGTATGAAGGATTAAACCCAGGGGTGCTTAACCACTAAGCCACATCCCCACCTCCCTTTTTTTATATTTTATTTAGAGACAAGATCTCACTGAATTGCTTAGGCCTCACTAAATTGCTGAGGCTGGCTTTGAACTCACAATTCTCCTGCCTCAGCCTCCAGAACAGATGGGATTACAGGCACGCACCTCCATGCCCGTCCCTTCGAATAAATTTGCTAGATCTTTTCTAAATTGTTAAATAGTTCTGAAAGTATAATTCTTCATCCATGGTACATTTTAAACAAGAAATAGTATCAGTTTAATATAATATAATGGAGACTATATTTGCTCTGCCTTTATTTGTGGTGGAAATTTAGGCAATACTTTTGCCTTTTTAATTTTTTTATATTAAATAAATGATCCATGCCATTAACTTCCTCAGATGGGATAATAAATATTAATAAGATAAATTAAAATGTCTCTGATAATTTCAAAATTTCTTGGAATATAAGAATAAGTATAAAATAATACTATTAAGAAAAATAATAAGAATAATAATAGTAATTCGAATTGTAGTCTAACTTCCACTCATAAATATAAGAGAATAAAATGAGTAAGCTTGATTTTATATCATGAATTTAAGTTGCTTTCCTATATGTGGCTTTCAGGAATATATTTAACCAATTTTTGTAATCTATAAAATAGCTGACATGTAATAATTTATTATTCTTCCATAGATATAAAGAATTATATCCAAGTGCAAAAATTCAGAAGTATTATATGCTACAAATGTCTGCTCTAGCTTTAAAGTAAAGTCCACTGTACTCATAAAATAAAATAAACAAACAAAAAACCCCCAAAACCTGGGTTTGGTTCTACCTGTTCTTTCTTTGGCAGGTGGGGGGTACCAGGGATTGAACTCAGGGACTTTCAACCACTGAGCCACATCCCCAGCCCTATTTTGTATTTTGTTTAGAGACAGGGTCTTAATGAGTTACATGTTCGCTGTAACTGAGGCTGGCTTTGAACTCATGATCTTCCTGTCTCCTCCTTTGGAGCCACTGGGATTACAGGCATGTGCCACCACACCCTGCTGGTTCTACCTGTTCTTTACTAATATTTATGAATAAAAGTCACTGTTATAAAATGGTTCCCCAATTCATTTCCATGAAAAAAGAAACAAATGACACATTTTCTATCTTGAGATATTATCCCCCCCCGCAATGAACACAAATTTATTCCATATACCTTGTATCACTGGAGAGCTACTGGTCCCCCAAAAAAGCCTCAAAATACTCACACAATTCCTCTACTGTTTATTTATGGCTACAAGATATGTCACACAGAACAGCAGTGATTTCAATCACAGTTCTGATCAATGCTGAAATTCAATGACAACTCTACATCTAACAGCTTCATTGATTGGAAATTCTTTAATATTTTAAATAGCTATGCTGTGGACACACAGCACCTTATGGAGTAAACATTAAAAATAATACTAAACTATAAAACTCTGACTGATCAATATTGTCTTATACTGAACTCAGTATGTTTTCATCTTTTTATAAAAGCTTTGGAGTTTCAACTGAGCTGACCCGTAATTTCAGGCTCTGGCAAACCTCTTAGAAAAGCAGATATAAAAGATATTTATTTTCAAGAATAAATAGTAATGAAATATCAGAGCTGCTGCTGATCAGCTGCTATGAGATGGTACAAATCTAAGTATCCAAGTATTACATATCTTGGATACAAAGAGAATATGTCCTAAATGTATGAAGAAACAGAAGACCCTTTGTTTCATAATGAATTATGAGGTTAAAATGATGTTCTTATAAAACAGTGTAAACATTTGGAAATATTTTTATTATAAGTTTCCAAACCAACTTATTTTAAGAACAAAGTTTCTAATGTGATTGAAAGCAATATTCAATAGACAGAGCCAACTTTTTCTTTATGCAATTAGAGGACAATATGAAAATAAAAGCACGCAATTGACTGTGAAGAGTTTTTAATGAACATATATGTTATCAAATTTTCTAACAAATGAACAATGTACTTTTACTGCACCACCCTTTATTACCATCAGAAGAACAATTGGCTTTTTAATAGATAATAGCCTCTACAAAGCCTTATGAAATTCTAGTTTTATTGCAATTGTCCATGAATGCATTGTATAGATCATCTGCAAAGCCTGTCAGATAACTAATGTACTGCTCTGACTTGCCAAATGTTTCATTTTTTTTTCTACAAACTTCCCATCTAAAGTGCATAATGCATTCATTCTAATGGGAACTTTCAAAAGCTGCTTGTGCCAAACAAGACCCTCTTTACAAACCCAAGATGCATCACTATAGAGAAAAGCAACTAACGATTTGGACGAAAATGATTGCTTTAAAATGTTTCTTGAAAGTGTGTGATTGTATGGTAAAGGGTTCTTTAGAGTTCTGCTAAATGCACCACCTAATTAGCTTGTTCCATGCTTAAGATATAACTCAAAAAATGTGACTTGAGATTTTATATTATTCTAGATTATTTGTTTCAATAAGAACCACTTTCCTATGCATAAACTTGGTTGCTTTACCTGACATTGTACAGGCACTTTTCTCCATAGCTGAATTTAAAGGGCTGTTCTTGACTGCAGGCAGAGCTGAGTTCTGAACATGGACTGTGGGGTTCTTTCTTGATTTTCAGTGGTAGGCCATGAAAAGCCACTAAGAAAACAAAACAAAAAATCCACAAAAGTTAAATGAAGTTAGGAATTAAGTATATTAATTTCTTTGGCTTCTCTCATTTAACATGTCATTAATAATTCTAATTAACTTACATATATTTAGAAAAATTACATTTGATGAATTTCAGGGGCAGTAAGATTCTGAAGAATCTCTGTATACTCCTTTTATGCTGTTATACTGTAACAAAATATAAGCCTAAATTTTCTCTAAAGTAAATCAAATCACTTATAATTGACTTAGCTGATAAATTACTATTAGACTTAAAGATGCTGAGTTTAAAAAAAAAAAAAAAAAGATGCTGAGTTTTTTGCCCCAAGTATCATGAGTTTTCTCTGGGTCTAAATCTGAATTTTTTTGTCATAGTTGGATTGTCATTCCAGTAAACAATTACCATTGATGAATTGGAGGCATTTTCCCTTCAATAATGCTTATTAAACTTTCATTACAGTGTTCAGTTCATTCTTAGTCATTAAGTTATATTTTTGTCTGCTTTAGTCACTGGAAATTATTGTAATTTCTATAAAATTGCAATTAAAACACAAAATGTTAAGTATGAATTTTATAAAGCAAGACAATGTCAAGAGAAACAGCATGGTTTACAGTTCAGTTCTGATTATTCCATCATAATAATTAGCTTCAATTTGAAAAACTAATTTTTAATATAAGAATTGGATTTCAAAAACTATCAAGTTTCAGGAAACAAACACTGTGCATTTGCATGTGAACACAGTTTTGATGAGTGTTCAATGGTACCTGAGATCCAAAACACCCTAGGAAACAAATTTACCAACTAAGCAAATTTTACTCAAATTCATTATCTAAGGAAACTTAATTATACTGAGTGTTCTGCTTCAACATATTTTCTTAATGTACTGTATGTGCAAACACATGCTAAATATGACTATTCAAGGTAGAGAGAAAAGAAATGGCTGGGGGGGGAAGAAATTTTATCTATCTCCATTTGCCAAGGTGTTTCACAAAACCAGAAAGTTATAATTTAGGGGCTGGAATACAGCTCAGTGATTGAGTGCATGCTTTCATTCATGAAGTCTAGGGCTCAATCTTCAATAGTTGAAAAAAAAATCATAATTTGTTAACTTCAGATAAAAGAGAATTAAAAATCTCAAAAATCAATTATGAAGACTTGTTTTTATTCTGATTTAAAAAACTTAAAAATAATAACTCTGAAATAAACAGGGCAATTGAATATAGACTGGATATTAGACAATTCAAAACATTGTTGTTAGTTTCGATGGTTGAAATAATAATGTAATAGTTGTCCAAAAAAATTTTAACATTAAAGATTAACAAAGTGTTTTCAGGTAAAACAATAAGGTGTCTGCAACCTTTAAAATGCCCCGGAAAAATTTATGTATGAAAATAATCAAATTAGAAAAAGGTTGATAAATGTGAAAAGTGGAATGATGGGAACATGGGGGTTCACCATGTTCTCTTTACATTTATTTAAGTCAAAATATCCACTAAAAAAGTTTCCAATATATATATATACTTTTAAAAAAACTGCCAAATATTTATAGTATTCTATAAGAAAATTCTGTCTCCTCTGTATATGGGTAATGTATGTGTGCATGCTACTTCTTAGAAAAATACTGAATGATGCAACATTTGTAGTACATTAAACTGTATTTGTTRCTTTTTTGTCAAATATTTTTCAACTATTTATTACTTCTTTGAAAATATACAGCAAAATGTATATTTTCATGTTTTAGCTCTCTGTATCCTAACTATTCATTTTACATTTCCCTAAGGGAAAAAAAAAATTAGTAACAAATAAGAAACTCAACTTGCATTCAGAGAAGTAAAAAATCATATTATACCTGAGATCTCAGATCTACTTTTTACGAATAAAAATCGATATGAACTCAGGAGCTGATAACTATAGTAGGATTCAAGGTTCACCATCTTAATCAAAATATCAGATACATCAGAGACTGTTACATTTCATATATTTTAAAAGTATTTGGAGCCATGAGGTTCAAAAGGACTAGTGAATGGGATTTAAAAAACACTGACCATAAAAGAAGACTATCAACAAATCGGGCTTCACTAAAATTATGAACTTCTCTTCATCAAAAGTCATCATAAGAACAGAGCAAAGTAAGCCACAAGCTACAAGGTGTTTGCAATAGAAAGAGCTAACAAAGAATTCATGTTTAATATAATTGCTACAAATCAATGATATTTGACAATTTACCTATTAAGATAAACAAAGGACTTGAACAGGCAGTTTATAAAAGAAAATATCCAAATGGCAAAACAGAAAAATGTACAACAAATAAAAGCCCACAAAAACAATGAGAAAAATGCAAATGTATTCAAAATCTTTACTCATCAGTAAATTGCAAATAAGCCACATTAAGCTGTCACTACAAACCCATTCAAATGGCTAAGCTGTAAAAGATTGACATTAGCAAATTTTCTTGATGACATAAAGCAATGGGAAATTTTATACATGCTGCTGAGAATATGAATTGGTATAACCACTTTAGAAAACTTTGGCAATATCTACCCTGGGATCCAATAATTGCACGTTTGGGTATATATCCAAAAAAAAGAGTGCATATGTTCACCAAAAGACACGTGTAAGAAAGTTTTGAACCTTTACTCATGATAGAAAAAGCTGAAAAATACCCATTGGTGAGAGAATGGATAAATCAACCATGCCATAATCATACAATATAATAAATATTATACAGGAATAAAAAGGGACAAACTACCTACCAATGCATCCAAAAAATATGGTCTGCCAGGCATGAAGTTGAGTAGAAGAAAACAAGCATAGGAGTATATAAATTTCAAAAACAGATAAAACGGAGAGAAAAAGAATTTCCTTCTGTTGATTACTATGCGAACTTATTTGGAAAACCAGTTAAATTAAGATGAAGTCACTAAGATGGGCTCTAATCCAATGTGACAAAAAAAAGTGCAAATTTGGATATAGAGACATGCACAGAGAGAGAATATCAAACAAAAATGAAGGCAGAGGTCAAGGTGATGCTTCTGCAAGCCAAGGAATGCCAGACTGCCAGCCAACCACCAGAAGCCAGTGGAGAGGCATGGTACAGATGCCCTCCCAGCACTTAGAACCCTGCTTGACACTTTGTCTCTGACTTCTAGCCTCTAGAACTCTGAGACAATTTTTTTTCTTTTTAAGCCATCCTGCAGGTGGTACTTTATTATGGCAGCCTCAGCAGACTAGTACACTACTCGCAGAAATTCTGATTCATCAAGGCTGAATGGAACAGGATTTTGTATGTTATAAAAAAAAAATTTCTAGGTGATTCTCCTCATAATTGGACAAATTCTGAATCTGTCATGATGCTTGGCAACATCTGGATGAAGTGTATGCTGTATCCAGCTCATTGGCACAGGTCTAGCACTTGAAAATAGTTTTAAAAATGTCGAACATCTTTTTGTCTTAGATGCCAACACTCAAGGATCCGTATAAGTTCTACAACTCCAGAAGTTGAGGACTCTTCCTCTTCATAGCATATTTGATGTATATGGGCCTCTTAAAATCATCATTGGCCCCCAAAACTGATTTTGCTTTTTCTGATCATAAGCCAATTAACTAATCCCATGAATCTGAGTTGGTGAGGATATTTTTGTTCGCTTTTTGGTTTGTTTTTTTGTTGTTGTTCTTAGCTGCTGCATGTGAGGGGAAAAGGAAGCCACGCTGAAGATCTTCAACTTTCTACATGAGAATCTTCGGCTACTTTATTTTCCTCACCTTAATTTTCCTGCTTCCTGGAGATACTAGGTCACAAAAATGACTTCTCTTATTTATCCTGAAATAAGGGTAGTCTAGAGACTCCCACCGAGAGGGCTGGGTTGGAAACATGTTGGGTATTTCATCACAGGGCTGAGAGCCTGAGCGTCTGCTAACAGGCGGTTTTCCAGCTCATTGGCACAGGCACAAGTGAAAGCAGCACATTCATTTTGTGCAATTTGCTTTACCTTCCCACATGGAGTTGGTGCATGTAAAAGGCTGTTAAGTACTAAATTATTCCTTATCAAATCACCATCATCTGGAGTCATGATCAACACTAATTAAATTACTTGTGCTGAACACGGCTCCAGCCTGCTGCCGAGGCTGCGAGGTACATTTCATTTCGCTTACAGTCCCGTCCTCACTGGGTCTGGAACAGAGAGCTACAGGCATCTGTATTGTTTGTAGTTTTAATTTAAGTGAATCTCTCCTTCTTCAAGTCTATCAAATCAAGTGAGTTAACTCCTTCATTTCATTTACAAAGAGATGATAGTTCAAAATGATATTATATCTTTATCCCTGACTTCAGACAGTTCATAATTTATCTATGAAATCTACAGTGTTTCTCAGGCATTCCTAAGACACATTTCTCATGCAAACTTTTATGATCCACAACTCCTCCAGACAATCCGATCTTTGGGAAGAGAGGGAGAGAGAAAACTCAAGAGATGTTTCTTGCATTTTTGTCTTTGATGGAAGCTTGACCTTTAAAACCACATCTTAAGGCTGAATAATGATGACTGAGTTCTTTTAATGGTTAAACTTAAGAAATCAAAAATACCAGGACTTAAAAAATATGCACTTCCAAAATAAACGTAACCACTTCTTAATTCAAAAGTTTACTCAGGGTCATGGTATTCATCGTTAAATGTTTATTAAATTAGTAATTGCTTTCATTTTTGAACTATGAACTATGAGACATCATCCTGTTTCCACTTTGTTCCACCTAGATTTTAGAAAGGAGGTACAATCTTGTCATGATTCCACTGAAGCACAGAGATGCCCTTAGCTTTCCACAACCAACACTGCTAGAGTATAAACACATTGTTGGTTGAGTGTAGATATAATATAAAATCACATTTGAATACTTGAAATATAGATGGAAAAAGCACATTTAAAAATTGCTCAAGGAGAATAACCTCCTAAACATGTGTGACACTGAGGCATTATTTATATTCTTAAATTGAAA